TTCTGTCATGAGTTCCGAATATTCTAAATTCATGTTCTTTCATATGAGATAAAATTTTATAAAAAAATAAAATTAGCTTAGATTTTTTTATTCTTCCTCTTTGAAGTTGTCGAAATATTCTGTTATCTTTTCCTTCAGTAATGGTAAGTCTTCTTTGAATGTAAGTATTGTGCAACCTTTGATGTCATAGTGTGTTTGAGGAAGAGTATTTTTGACAATTTCTTTTATTTGCTCATTCGGTGTCATTGAAATCGGTAAGTTTTCACGATAGAACCAGTTTCTGTCAGATTTGTAAATCTTAGCAAGGTCGTAAAAGCTTTTGTTGTTTCTTCTGACTAAATGCAACATAACCATATCTCTGTCTTCTTCTTTCTCCAACTCTTCAGTATATATCATATACTTATAACTCTTTTCCTTTCCTTTTGGTACTGAACGTGGTATTCTTTTCTGTATGCTTTTGTCTTTGGATTCAATGACTTCATCTTTTGCTTGAAGTTTCTTTTCCATCTCTCCACGTTCTGCTTTATATAGTTCATCTAACATCATGAAAATATAACAAGCGTAACGAGGTGAAGCCCACATTGCTACAGCATTTACTAAAAGTCTATGAACATAATATCCTTTCAAACCAGGAGCCAAATTCTTGCGATTTTCATACGGAATCTCTTCTCTCGGTTTTCCGAGGGAAGCAATCATATGAGGAAATTCTTCTAAAAGTTCTTTTGTCTGTTGGTTTTCAAACCAATGATATGCTTGCTTTGTAGAACTAAGAGCATTCATTATACTTTGCACCTGGTACATGTCATCTTTGACCGAACGAATGAGACGTAACTGTTTGTTATATTGTATGTACTCGTATTCTTCATTTATGGCTTCATGAACGATAGCAGTTGTTGTGTTCTCTGTTGTTGTCATATCTGTCTTTACATACAAAATAAAAAAATATTTTATAAAAAATTAGCGTTATTTTTTTATTTTCACAAAAGACCAAAAATAAACGCTTTACATGTATTTTTCAGCAACTTCGTCAAATAATTTTATAGCTTTATCTATCTCATCTACTTCAAACGTTTCTTTACCTTTCGTGGGAGCACCATACATTTTCTCAAACTTTTCAAGTAGTTCTGTTTCTGCAGCTCTCATATCATTAGCAAACACAACCTTGACTCTATTGACTGTAGAGTCATATCTTAGAGTTATATTATATGTTCTTCCTATCTTATATCTTTTTGTATTGAAGTCCTTCGGTTTCTGAACGATGTAAAGTAAGCCTTCACTGCAACGTTCCGTATCGAATGAACCATATGTTATGAAGTTATATCCAACAACTGGGTCTAACCATAACAAAACTATTGGTATAAGACTTTTGTCGATGAGATATGCTGCAGTTCCATAGAATCTTACCGATATCATAAGCTCAGGATTTCTTGTCAAAATTTTCTGAGTTGAAGCATTTCTAACCCAGTCGTGTGTTTTCTTTCCAGATGGAGATATAATGTCTGACAAAGAATATTTCTTGTATTTCTTTGAGTATCTTACGTTTAAATCACCAATTCTAACCATTTTGGTGTCATTGTCTATCTTTCTAACTGTTTCAAACTCAGTGTTTGTCATTTTCTGTTTCTTACATACAAGATAAAAAATATTTTTTTAAAAAAACTAACGTTATTTTTTTATTTTGTATAAAAGATATGATTTCAGGGATTTTTTTGACGAAGTGTCAAAGTTCTCTTCGTAAAAAAATAACAGTTATATAATGAAATTTGGTCATTTTTTCACGATTTCAGGGATTTTAGGCGAGTGGGTTTTTTTTACTACTCGCATTTTTTTACGATTTTCATGAGTTTTAGGTGTCACCAGGTCCCTCGGTCCCTCGGTCAACTAACATCTTTTTGAAAATGGTGACAACATGACATTTTGACAACAACACAGGAAATAGACTTCTTCGTATATGTTTTGTCATGACTTCTTCATCGTAATGAGTGTAAATCAGACAAAAATATATTTCTACCATAAAGTTTCACAAGCGTTTTACATGGTAAACATTGTGAATTCGTGAAATTCTAAACAGTTTTGTAGCTTCTATTTCTTCTGTCAGTACATCGAATGTTTTAACAATGCCGAATGTTTCTTTATATTTCTTCTTGACGTCAGATAGAAGGAAATCGTCAGCAGTTGGATAGTTTTTGTTCAGAAATGTCAACATGTCCATTTTATCTTCTGCTGGTTTCTCTGCTTCTTTCTTTAAGTCAGCATAGTCGTTTCGCATACGTTCTATCTCTTTGACAGAATAGTTATATTTCCTCATTGCTGCTTTACATTTAGAACATTGTGGGTTCATTTTAGCATTGTACATTGAAACCTTACCTGCTAAAACAACTAAGGCGTAAATGGTTTTCTTTAACTCAAAAGTTGCGGGTTTTATCTGTTCATTCCATACTTTACCTCTTCTATCTTTATCTCTTATCTGCCATACACATTTTGCAACTAACGAAACAAAGTTGTCGTAGGTCTTAAATTCTTCAGATTTATATATGTCAATGAAATATACCATATCGCAGTCTTTGTGGTTGCAATGAAATCCAAGAAACTCATAGTTACTCTTACGTATGAACTTCTTTATTTCAACTGAGTCGGTTGGTCTGACTTCTATTTCATCGAATTCTGGAATTGTAAGCTTTTGTTGTTGTATTTCAGGAAGTTTAGGTAGATGGTCAATAATATCCTGCATTTCATAAAGATATTGTTCATTTGTTTCATCTTTTGCAGTGCAATCTAAATCTCCTTGGAGAAGTTCTTGCTTTATCTTCTGGATTTCTGTTTCGAAAGTATATGAAGAAGGAATGAAGCTTTTCATCTCTACTAACATTGAAGTTGGGTTCATGACTAACGAGTTTGGTGCTGTTGTTGCTAACATGTTCTTACAATAAAAATAAAAAATATTTTTTTAAAAAAACTAACTTTATTTTTTATTTCGGGAAAATTCAACGGGTGACAAAACATTTACGTTCATGTTTGACAAAACATATACGAAGAAGTCTTGACAAAACATTTACGTTCATGTTTGACAAAACATATACGAAGAAGTCTTGACAAAACATTTACGAAGAAGTCTTGACAAAACATTTACGAAGAAGTCATAACTGCCTTCCTCCTGTGTTGTTGTCAAAATGTCATGTTGTCACACTTTTTCAGAGAAGTTAAAATGACCGAGGGACCGAGGGACCGAGGGACCTGGTGACCTGTGACACCTAAAAACCATCTACCCTAAACATTATTTTTGGTCATGGACTTCGTCCTCGCCGCTTTGCGTCTTTATGTTAAAATAAATGGTACCATTAATAATTCCATGACTGTTCTCATTCATGTCTGATTTACATCTAATGAAAAAGTTTAGAAGAATTTTCTTATTCTTTCTGGCATATTTTTGTCTTTCCAGTACTCCCGCTCTAATGGTCCCAGATGTGTTGGCTTCGACTCTCTCAAGTTCTTAGATGGTATAACATCTTCAACGCCTCCTTCATATCTTACTTTATAAGTGTCATCGTTTATGTTGTAGCCAAGTATTTCAATAACCACTCCTCGCTTTGCTTCGTCAATGGTTTCAGCAAGTTTGCCATTACTACTTTCGACTAATTTATGTCGAGGATAAAACGCAATAGAGTCGTCGGCAGCTTTTATAAGATATCCATTACCTTGCGTAGAGTCTACAATATAATAATTTCGACTTAACCTTAAACGTTTCTTTGTCAACGGTTTGTCGTCAAGAACTACACGAACTTTTGTACCAGGAATGAGGGTAAATTGTGTTGAATTTCTGATATTTTGTGTTTGGCTTCGTTTCTTTTGTATATACTTTTCTTCTTGTTGTTGTGTCATTGAATTTGGTGTATGTCCTGTTGTAGAATGTGTTGAGGAATTATATACTTCGAGAAAATGTTTCATTGTTTCTTCGGTAAAGTCTCGCTCTTGGTTTAAATCTCTGAGCGTTCTTATGAAGCGGTTTATGATGCCAAGTATGTTATGGTTATGGTCTTCAGTAGTGTAATGAGTTATGTTATGCTTAATGAGAAAATCTGTGATTTCATTGCTGAGGTATGCACTGTCTTGGTCTGATGTTAAAGTACTTGGGCTATGTTCTGCTACAAACTTTTGTAAAACTCTTAACACTTCATGAGTTCCTTTATTTCTCATTATATACGCAAAAGCTTTGCGAGTGTTAACATTTATGAATATGAGGAATGGTTTATGTCCTCCTTTTCTGCTTTGAATGAGAGTGTCAAATTGGTATGCGTCAGGAGTGTTGGAGTAAATTGGTAAAAAGTAGTCGTAAGGATTTATTTTTGTTTGATGTACAACATTTTTGTTAAAGAACCTTTTCACTTCAGCTCTGTTAGTAAATCCCGAACTCTTTGCAGCTTCATTGAATTTCTTAAAAGACCTCCATGGATGTTGTTCGAATACTTCTTTCAAGCTCATTTATGTAAAGTTAAAGATTTTATTCTAGGCTCAAGCGCGTTCATTGAACGCGGTACCATGCGAATATAGTCACAAATGGTGGCATATAGTCTGCTCCACTTCCTGTTGGATTTGTTGTGAAAGTGTGTGAATGATTTCCTCCTGGTTCAGTTTGTCGAAAAGTCTTTTTTGCTGAATGGTTATAATCTGGAGATAAAACGTCATTGCCAGCTTTATATTCTGAGTTGTATAATGGATGGTCTCGTAATGAGTGGCTATGGTCGCCAGAAAAGTTTGTCGTTCCTGTATGAGTGTGCGGTGGAAGGTTTGCTTCAGTAATTTTCTTCGAACCTCCTGTTTGCTTTGAAGAGTTCGCACAGTATAAGAATTTATCTACAATCTGCTCCCACATACCAAAACCTAAAACTGTTTCTGGATTTGTTGAATTCATTGACGTATAAATAGAACCTATAGGATATAATGTTTGAAGTATTTCTGTCTTTAATGTTTGAAGCTCTGTTTTGTCTGCTTTCTTATCTAACATTGTTGGTAGTTCATATGCTTCAAAGTTTCTGGCATGATCTTCGATATTCCTGCAACTCTTATCTAAATTGTTAAGAGTATCTTTTACGCTTGTACTTGGATTCTCTAAAGGTGCACTTGAACCAAGGTCAAAGTTCAATATTATGTCGTCTGCTCTAACAGTAGTGAAGGATTTATGTGTATGGTTCTTGTCAGCTTTCTTATCTAACATTGTTGGTAGTTCATATGCTTCAAAGTTTCTGGCATGATCTTCGATATTCCTGCAACTCTTATCTAAATTGTTAAGAGTATCTTTTACGCTTGTACTTGGATTCTCTAAAGGTGCACTTGAACCAAGGTCAAAGTTCAATATTATGTCGTCTGCTCTAACAGTAGTGAAGGATTTATGTGTATGGTTCTTGTCAGCTTTACTGTCTAATGTAGCTTGAAGTTCATTTATATCGGAGATATTGTGTTTATGAGATTTCAAAACTTTGTTCATTGCTTCGAGTTCATCTTTGTCAGCTTTACTTTTAATAGCATCTTCAAACGTTATTTTTGACTTAACTCTCAAAGTAAATCTTGGTTCAACTAATACACCGTTAACAGAGAAAGTAGAGGCATAAATTTCATCGTTATAACCAAATGCTTCTGGTGCTTTACCCGTGTCATACTGTACAGTACAGCGTATATCATAACCTTTAGCACGAATGTATTTATATCTTCTTTCATTAACATTTTTTGTCTTCGCTTCATCACTTCGTGTTAAATATCCATGGTAGTCCGTTATAATCTGTTCGTCTGAAGTTATATAATGAACGTGGTTTTTATCTGCTTTTTCGGCTAATTTCTCATTAACATCATTCACTTCTAATTCAACTCTTCCGCCAGAACTCTTATTATCATTAATCTTTTTCATTAATTCGGTAATTACGTCATAAAGACTATATTCTGTTTTCGGTTTTGTAAATAATGAGTCAAAATTTCTTTTCATCATTACATCGCTGACATTAATGATATCACCAATTCCTTTTTCATTTATTCTCTTCATTAGTTCTGCAATAATGACGAATATATAATCTGTTAATTTATTCTCTTCATCGAGGGTTATAGAATGTTTTGAAATTGAATCATTAACTCCTCTAAATAAATCAATAACTTCAGGATACACGTTTTTAATGTCTTGAATAACCCGACCAGTATCCTGTTGTTCATGTTCTTCGTTCCCGTCGTTACGTGGTTTTATATCTCTAACCATCATCAACGCAGCCATAACCGGAGGGTTTGTTGCTACCTGTTCGAAAATCCGTCCGTTATGTATGGTATATCTAAATAATTTCTTTGTGTTTGTTAAAACATTTGAAACAAGTCTTTTAAAACCATCTACAAAATTTCCTGTTTCACCTAATGTTCTTGCAGCATTTACAAGCTCACCCATTCCCGCTTTTGACCCCAAAAACGTCCATATTGCATTTATTTCACTCTGTATAGTTGTCCATTCAGCGAAACTAACACCCGCATTCGCTAAGCTGAAAATGAAATTCAGTGGATCGAACTTAATTCCACCTTCTTTTTCAATTTCAACGAACTCACTAACATGAGATTTTAAATATTCTTTCGTTAAAATTGTTTTCCCCGATGTTATGTCATTAACGAAACTATCACCGTCAAAAGTTAACGAATTCAATTTCGTCGTTGATGCTTTTATTTCATACACCGCTTTATCGATAGTTTTTGGCTCACCTTCTTTAGAAGCATATGAAACATTAATGAATGAATTATATGTATTCGTGAATGAGTTAAAATCAATGATTTTCATTAATGACGCCTTTAATGATTCATTAACTGTTGAATCCCTTAAAGTAATTAATGAACTGTCATGGGCTTCGCCCTGGTCGCTTTGCGACTTTATGAAAGGTACACTGCAAACCGTCGAGTTTGGATCAAATGCTGTAGTTGGTGCAGGAATATTAATGATATAAGTCATTAAATCATTAAGTGACGTAAATAATGTTGTCGTTTTTGATTTAATTTCTTTAGCATCTGTTATATATGGTAATTTTATTTCTGTAGTTTCTGAATTAAAGATATTCGCTAAAATGTTTTGTAAACTGTTTTGAACAGCAGTATAAACCGTTGAATCCGGAACTCTTACGATTTCACCGTCCTTAATAAAAGGCATTGCACATGGTGTAGTGCTTGGGTCAAATCTTTCGGGATTATAATTCAACATATATTCTAATGCTTCATATACAGACTTATATACTGTTGTGTCGTTCTTCATGACAACTTCACCATTTACAATGAATGGCATTGTACATGGAGTTAAAATAGGGTCAAACTTTTCATAGTCCTTCCATGTTATGTATTTCTCGGTATTTCCATCACTGATAACAATATATTTGTCAGTAAGTGTGAGAGAGTATTGACCAAAATATAAACGTTTAGCTCTGTCAGCTTCATACGCATATGCAGCTATACTCATATTTTAATGAGAATAAAATGTTGTTCTATTTGCAAAGTACAGACCCAAACGAATACGGGACAGTAAAGCTACAAACAAACTTAGGTCTTCAGAATGAAGCACTTGCTTTCAGAGTTGTTGACTTCAATACTATCGCTTCATTCGTTATAACAGATGAAACAGATTTCATGGAGTTTGAAATAGATGGAAAGAAGCACGAAATAAGATTTCACAATAATGTAGAATATAAGATGGAAACATTAGCTGGAGTGTTAAATGCTCTCATAAATACTACAATAAACAAGGATAACGAAGAAAACTTAATGAATGTTAAACTTATTGCAGGAGTTTTGAAGTTCAGTTATGCGAAGGAGTTTAAGATAACACGAATGAGTCATAGAGTTCAATTGCTTCTGGGTGCATACCATATGACATTTCCTTTGAAAAGTGTTGACAAAACGATTGAGATGAAATCTGTTCCATACGTATGTTATGGTAATTGTTTATACATTGAGTCAAAATAGCTAATGTCACAGGTATTTCAGGAGTTAATAGTAAAGGTTCAGTAGAATATAAGTCTTTCTGTTATGCAGTCAATTCAATGTTCATTCCAAACGTTCCTGTCATAGCAACTCATTTAGGTAAATGGATTCGCATTAGTCCTCATAATTTGAAAGACATGCAATTCAGACTTGTTGACTTTCAAGGCGAGCCTGTAGAACTGAAGGCACCAGTGCGAATGACTGTTGAAGTTGACTTTTTAGAAAATATTAAATGCAACAGCTTACAAGAGAACTCAGAGCTAAAAATATAAAGTATGAATGTTATGTATTAGGTCATGAACTTTGGTTGTTGCTGTTTGATGAAACAAATGAATTAGTTATGTCAGTCAAGAGAACAGAAAAAGGCGTCAAAGGCGCCGAGCGCAAAGCGCTATATTGTGTTAGTGAAAACTGCACCAAGTCAATAAGATTAGGTTTGCATTATGAAGATGAGTTCGATACTGTTGAAGAAGTTTTGGATAGATATTACAAATTGCTTTAATTTACTAAAACATATTTCAAACAAAGTTTATATTCTGTTGAAAGTTTTGTATATTCATTCGAATATTTATACTTAAACTCAACTCCTGTAGTTTCTGGTGTTTCAATGATGCGGATGTTACCTATTTTCATGAATGGTGGCGTTTGACCACAGCATTCGATTTCAGGGTCGAGATAGTCAATGACACATTGCTTTCCCTGTTATTCGTGATATAACATTTTCAAGGTCCTCCTTTGTTAGAATTATTTGGTTCTTGCTTATAAGATTTGTCAAAAGCTTCTTATCGTCTTTGAGTAAAATTGTTTGGTATAACTGAAGAAGGTAATGGTCTACGTTATCTGAAGGATTTGTTTGAACATTTGTGTAAGGGTTGTCGTTGGCTTCTCTTGAAAGAACTTGGTCCAGTGGTGGATACTCTAACTTAACATCTGATGTAGCGTTAGCGTTTGAAGCTGAGTTTAAATTCACGGATTTCAGTTCTGGTTCTTTTTCTTTCAAACACTCTGAACTATAGTTCTTTATGACAATATTGTTTGTCGTTCGTGAGTCAACATTTGATGTTGGTTCAATTGGAACATTAACGGCACCAGCTAAGATGGATTTGCTTCTCATTTCATATAGAATAAAAACCTTTTATATGTATGAAATGAACAATATACTCGACAAGGGTTTGAATGTAAAGCTAACGAATGAAAATATTGTTGAATTCACTGAGACAGGAGCTGTGTATAAAGATGTAGAACTACTGAACAAAAGAGCTAAGGGAAGAAGCAGGAACATGAACAAAGGGTGGAAGCCTATAAAAATTTATGTCAATGATGGCTCAGGAGGTTCAAACATAAAGTATGCAGAAAGTTATAGAGTTTATGCTCTCAAAGGTGAAAAGCCTTCATTTAAGAACAGCTATTCTAACGCATATCCTCAAAAGCTAACGGATGGAGAAGTGGATGATATGAATGACAGCAAAAATATTAACAGAAATGGCGACAGAGATGCATGGAATTTGTTTACCATCAGTCAATTGAAGGTTAAACTTTAAAACAATGTTGGTCGTTCCCATGGAATATTTTTGACTTTAATGGTATTAGTCATGATATGAATCTCAAGGTATGAACGAGGAGAGATGAGAGACTTATATGCTTCCCAAATTTCTTCAAAAGGTAATGTTATACCTGACTGTTTCCAAATGAGTTCAATATCATAACGTGAGAAACCTTGAAAGATAACGAAGTCAGTTATGAGACGTTTTATGTTTAAAGCTAAAAACCTCCATGTTTGCATAAGTATTGCTACAGTTAAGTGGTAATGTCTGACTTTAGTAATGATATTAGCTAATGGTGAGTCTGGTTTTGACACTAAACCTTTACCAGCGAAGTCGTCGCAAACGAGCAGAGTGTTTGAAGGATATTTTTTGAAGGGGTATTTTGAAAGTTTTGATAGAATGTAGTTTGTCAGTCGTTTCATATCGTAAACTCCTGAGTACTGACGTAAGTGGTGTTTGTCAATAATTCTTTTCCATCTCCTCAGAAGTCTTTTGCATTCCTGACTGTATAAATTCAACGATGGATAATATTTCCTCTTACGTCGAATGTAACGTTGAAGAAATTCAATGAGTTCACTGTCTGGAACTTTAACGACAGAGGCTGAACTTTTGAATAAATGTTTTCGCTGTTGAGTCCATAGAGTCTGAAGTTGCTGATATAATGATTTGGTCATAATATGAGTCATTTCAAACGTTCTGTTATGAGTATATGACGAATTAAATTAAATGTCTTACCTGAACCCATCTTTCCACAATAGAAATAAACGCCATTTGAACAGAACTCATAGTCCCTTACTGAAAGGAAGAATGAGAGAAGAGTTAAGTTTGTCTGTAGTTTCATTCATGTCTTCATCTACGTCATGTATTAAATGCTTCATTTTATCTCCATTAAAAATGCAAGTCAGAAATATTCAGAACATACACCGAGTCTAACTGACAAGAGTATAAAGATATACTATGAACACGTTATGATGAAACCTACCAAAATTCAAGAAAGTCAGTATACTTATGAATATCCAAGGCACTGGGTAGAGTATGTAGGCAGGTGAGAAAGCTATTGAAATCAGACAGGTTCGAAGTATTCCAGCAGGAAGAACAATATTGAAGAAGAACTTTAATGTTTTGAGATATAATGATGAAACAAAGAAGCAAGATAGTTTTCCTGTTGCTGTGTATGTGAACCTAGACACAGGAGATGACATGAAAGTTTTTAACACAAAGCTTCAAACGGTAGTGAGAGAACAACTGACTGCAGAAGGACACCCATTACCTTCAGAAGTTAGCATAGCATATAATTTTGAAAACAAACTCAATAGATTTTAAAGTCATCTCTGCAAAGAAGTCAGGTTTTACATTTAATGAAGCAGATGTATATTCGAATGAAAAACTTCAAGCTATTGAATGGTTAGATAATGACGATTGCTTTAAGAAAATATTTAAATTCAGTGACTCAAAGATGTCAATAGATGACCTTCGTGGAATGTTACCATCGACGTTTACAGTTGAAGGTTCAGCAGGATTGCTTACAAGATTGTCAATTGGTGGTATTTGGTCTCGTGAGAACATTGTTATAAATCCAGTATAAGTGAATTTGCTGAAGAATCTATATTATGTCTTTCAAACTACATGTATTCGCCACCGAAGCATATAGTATAACAAACTTTGTCAGTAAGTTTAACATAAGACTTGTCGAACCTTCTTCAATGAAAGATGTTGTGCTACCTAAAGATGGAAAGGATGGACTCATTATTGAGATGATTTTAATTGCATATTAAATGAGCTTGTTCTTAAAGGTCGTTCATGATGAAATAACTGTTGTAGAAGATGTTAGCAATTGTTCAGACATTTTGAAGCGTATAGATGAGATAAGAAAGAAGTTTATGAATGAGAATGTTTATGTTTCATTGACTTTCTCCAGTAACGAGAACTTTTATGAGATAATATTGAAGAGAGATGATTTTAATATGGTGTAAATGGTAGCTTGGGCAGCTTTAGGCGCAATGGGAACAAAAGCATTAGCATTTGGAGCAAAAGCACTTGGAGCTTATGACGCAGTAAATAAAATGAGTGGAGGAAGGGTTTCGAAGACATTAGATGCAAATAAAGGGAAGATTGGAGGCTGGGTTGCAAAGAAGTTAAGATTAAATAAAATAGGGCTCATAAATAAAGCATCCAATTTGGTTGCGACTGAGTCAGAAAATGCTTTAGGAAAGGACGATGAGTTTGCAAAACACGCAAAAGACTTTAATGACCAGATGAAAGGTGAAACAATGCATTTAAATAGAGTCGATGGAACTAAAGAAAATGTTTCTTCTCCACCAGTAGTTCTTCCGTATGGACCTTATGGAATGTATGGAAACCCTTATGAACGACCATTTGACCCATTGACTGGTGGAAGTAACTGGTATCATTACGGCCGAAGAAGAAAGACAGTCAAGCTGGAGACAGACGTGAAGAAAGCAACTAAAAAGAAACCAAGGAAGAGAGTTATAAAGCAATGAATTCAACAGGGTGAAAAAAGAGGTGAGATCTCACCACTTCACCTAAATTTAAATGGATGTTTTCATACGTGTGAGGGTGGTGATATCATTAATTTTTTATTTTATTTTTATGTAAATGACGAAAACTATTGAGATAACAAACTACAACGGTCATGAGTTCAAGAATTTGTTCTTCGTTCCTCGTGAAAATACATTCTATCAGATACGAGGGAGAAGGGGTAAAGTTAGTTTGAGCGTTTATGAAGGAATGAAGAATGGAAAGTTTATACAAGCATACGATACAAACGGTAAACGTGTTTCATTAGCTTTGTCAAAACTTACTAACATTTATTTTGACAGTGATTTTGACCTATATGAAGAAGAAAGTGAGTCAGAAGATTATGAGCTGTTATGTGAAGCACAGCAATGGGAGGAGTTGCAATACTTTTGTAAGTGAGAACGTTTATTTTTTACATTAGTGAAGTCGTTTGTGAAAACGTTAGTGAAGTGAAGTGGTTGGCGGCTTTGTAAATATTTAATGTTAAGTTAGTGTTGTCGTTTGTGTTGTAAAATATACGTTAATGGTTTTGTAAAGTGTCAAAACAGCTAAGTTGTGTACGGAGGCGCGCAGTGCCACAGTACACGACTTAGGTATACTAACTAAAGATACCTATAGGTAAGATGGAACGTATACCATTAGATAAGAAAAATATTGTGAGAGAGGTTTTGAAAAAAGCAGAATATATAGACTGGGATAGTATATCTGCTAGACTATTATATAGTGGTTCTATAAGAGTTCATGACATTGAAACACTCATGTCAAAAGTTTTATATCTCAACTATACAAATGTTTTCAAAGAGGACATAGAAAAATATATTGAGGGTATAGAGTTTGTGAGATGTCATTGGACAGATTTGTATGAAAAATATAAAGACAAGGAAAATGTTTTCTTTATAGTGGACCCGCCGTTCTATAACACATGGGATTTTCAATACCAAGTAGACTGGACTTTGAGAGACTCTTTAGAAACTTTAGACGTTTTACATAACCATCCATGCTTTTACTTTACATCCGATAAAAGTGGTTTGGAAACCGTTATGAGATGGTTAGAGGACATACATGACTATGAGTTTATATATGACAAGATAGAATATGAGAGAGGTCCTATAAACTGGAGAAAGTGTCATAACAAAGAAATTTTATTAGTAAGTAAATGTGGTTTGAAATAGGACTACTTGTTTTAGGTTTTTTCCATTGTGTCATTTATTTATTTGACGTGGCAGAAAAGTACAGAGAATATGAAGATGAACCAATGCCTGCAAATGTTCAGCATATGTACTCGTAAGAGATATTTTATCTAATATTAAATGGACGCACAGAACTTAGCGAATGCACAGCAACCTGGACAACCAAACCCAGAGAATATTCCAAATGAAGTTAGAATACAAACTGCAATGGCAAACTATGGTCAAGTGCCAACAGATGTACAAATGCAAACTGCCATGTCAAATGACGCTGCGTTAGGTTTGCCACCATGGTATGCAAATATGAGATGGAAAGAGTTTTATACAAACCCTGAAGTGGGATATAAACAACTTTATGCAGATGACGCGAACACAGGAGTTGACCCAGAATATGTTTTCTACCAGAGGAGAAACAGAATGTATGAGCTCCAGTTAAAGAATGCTATGGAACTCAACAGGAAACGTAAGAGACTAGGCGGACATTAGATTTTTACATATAGTAAAATGGGTTTCTTCAGTAGTATTGGAAACTTCTTCAGAAGAGTTGGAAGAGGTATATGGAATGGAATAAAATCTGTCGGAAAAGGAATTTGGAACGGAGTCAAAAATATTGGTAAAAGAGTAGGTCAGTTTGTTGGTATTATACCTAAAGACCCTGAACCAGAAGAACAAGCTCCTGTTATACAACAGCCTGAACCTGCACCACAGTCTAGTTGGCAACCAAATCCAACACCTCAACCGTATTAAAAAATTATATTTTTATCGTTCGATAGTAGTTGTATATGAAACTAAGTTCTAAGTAAAACGCATGGTATAATGGAATTATTCTTTTTCTTCCATCTGTAGTAAACCATACTTGAAAGTCTGAAATACTTCCACTTGGTGGTTCGTATAACTTTGTAGGTTTTTCGTAAAAGTCATTTGCCAAGCATAAGAAAGAGTTTTGGGCGCCAGAAAATGAAGCATGAACTATCACAGCATCTTGGTCGAAAACATCTTTAAATAAATATGGTTCATCTCTTGCATATCGACTGTAAATATTTGCTAAAGGAAGTTCGACTTTCTGATTTAACATTCTTTGCAAATAATACCATGACATTGCAGTGAATTCTGTATATATTTGTTCGTCTTTATTTGGATTGTTTTCGTAGATTTGAAATGACACTTGTGAATTTTGTTTGTCATATACAATTCTCACATAAAGTGTGCTCTCGGTATTTGCATATTCATCAGCATATTTTGCATAACATGAATTTATTTTATCTTCTATATTTTTTAACGCAGTCCGTAGAGAAGATGAAAGGTCAACTTGTATTAGCTCAATTTCTTCCCACATTTTTCGTTTCCCTTCAGATATATAATCTATATGAAACTTTACAATAAATGGAAAACTTTTATCTTCTACAGACACAAACTTCATTCTACGAAAGCCAATAGCTTTTGTGACAGATGGGTCTCTTAGCCATCTTAATGGGTAGTCAAAACGATAGCCTTCATGCTTTACGGTCTCTGTCTCAAACTTTTGACCGACATTAGTAAAAAGTTCATCTAATGGTTTAGTTGTAGCAACTCTAGAATTTTCTTTTTCTATTGGAAGCATATTTTATCTAGAATAAAAATGTCGAAAGATATTGCTTCCATGAGAGAAATACAACACAACCGACAACTCATTATGCAAGCTCTAAATAAGAACACAACAAACTTTTCAAACTATTCTAAGATATCTGAGTCATTGAAAGAAGGAAACTTAAAACTGACATTAAACCCAATGACAGATGAGTTTCTATTTCAAGACAAGAAGAACAATACTGTCTGTATAAATCCAACAAAAGGAACTTTAAACGAGAAACCTATAAATGAACTTCTTTTGAAAGCAGATGTTGACAACAAAGCTGACAAAGAATATGTAGACGATGCAATAGCAAAAGAAGAAGAAAGAGCTAACAATGCTTATGCAACAAAAAACATACTCATCCTGAACTAGCAGACAAAACATATGTTGACAATAAAATGTCAAGTGAAGTGACAAGAGCTGAAAACGAATATTCTAAAAAGACTCATATACATTCTATATCTGATATTACAAACTTAAACGTTAGCCTTGAAGAGAAGGTAGATAAGGGACTTATGGCTAGTGTGTTAGCGAAGAAGGCGGATAAGGAATATGTGGATGAAAAAGATAAAGAAATTATAGAAAGGGCTGAATGGTATCATGAATGGACATCGAAGATTTTAAAAACTAAAGCTGATACAGGATGGGTTTCAGGATGTTTAGACCTTAAAGCAGATAAAACTTATGTTAACGATGAGTTAGAGAAGAAAGCAAATAAGACTCATACACATAACATTTCTGACGTAAATGAACTTCAAGAAAAGTTAGATGACAAAGCAGACTCGAAATGGATAGCTGGATATGTAGATGCAACAAAAGAATATATTTTCGCATGGACAGAAGGAACATACGCACAAAAATATCATAGACATAACATTTCTGACGTAAATGAACTTCAAGAAAAGTTATATGACATTGTGCTTCTAAGACAGGAACTCAATGTGCTTAAACAAAATTTGCCGAATCTTATTTACCCGGTTGGCTCATTATATGTTTCAATGAACTCTACCAGACCAGAAGTAGTACTTGGTGTTGGAACTTGGACTCAAATAGTCGACAGGTTTTTGTATTGTGCAAACTCTTCAAAGGAAACAGGTGGAAGTAAAACGATTTCGGGTGAAAATCTACCTGCACATAGTCACTACGTAGATTTAACTACATCTGAAGCAGGTTGGCATAAGCATAGATATTGGGATTGGACAGGAATGATAAAAGGTAAAGGATATGATGTTAAAGACGAGGTTAAGTTTGCTATAAATTGTTACTGGGATGACACTCAGGCAGGAGGAAGCCATACACATCGCGTTACAGGATATACGCAAACAACGGGACAAAGTAAAGAATACATGCCACCTTACATGACAGTTTACGCATGGTATAGAATTGCTTAGTCGTCATTTTCAACTTCTTTAGCATATTCGTCAGGATTGTCTTATATTTGTTAGGAACTGTCTTTGAAAGTATACCACCTTGAACTTTGACAAGTTTGAAACGAGGTCTGACAATAGTAGTTTTATCTTCTGCTTGCAGTGTGTACATTTTGCCATGTTTGCCTAAAACTTCATAATATTCTCTTGTATACTTTCTTCTATTTTTACGAACACGAATGTGAGTACCTGTCGGGTTCCCATTGTTGTCATAGTCAATAGTATTTTCATATGGGTCGCGTTTAGGTATTTCTATTTTTACTTTGTCACCTTTCTGAAGTTTGAAGCCCGGCATTCTTTCTTGTTTGTCTCTTTTGACTAAATTATTAAATATATAGTCTTTCTCTAAGTCAGGGTTGTTTTTCATTTCTTCGGGGGAGTGGTTTCCCAAACCTTTTTGTTTACGGTTATTGTAAATATTTAAAACTTGTCTCATCTTTGCCATGGAGAAATGTCTATACTTGTCGTCATATGACATTTCATTTGCTTCACCACCTTGTGGTTGGTTTAAGTCTCTTAACATTTTTATACAACCGTCAATGACACCAAGAGCAGAATGGTTTTGGTCGACAATGAAATATTGGTTTACATTTTTTGAACGCAGATAGTTTTTTACATCATCTGATTTGAAAGAACTTTCACAGTCAGATGTCAGTTTTGTTGGATGGTATTTGTCAACGAATATTGTCAAAGCTGCTAAAATATCTAAAATAGCTTTGGACTGTAATGGTATGGCTTCACAGTATCTTGTGTTTTGACCAACAAATATTAACCAGTATGGTGGTCCATCTTCTCTATACCTCGGAATGTTTTCCAAGATATCCATAAACCAAGCATTTGGTGTTGAACTAAAGATTTTTATCATGAGTGCTTTTTTTGTTGCCTTAGAAACATAGGGGTCCTTGTTTGGATTCGTCATTTTTTACCCTATAAGAAATGGGTTTATTTGGCGCATTAGCAGGAGTTGCATCCAGATTTTTGCCCGCAGTGGGAACAATAGCCAGAGGTGCGTTTGGAATTGGAAGGAAGATTTTGAGTACATTAGGTATACTTAAAGAGAAAGCACAACCTATTATACAAACTGTACAGAAAGGTTGGGATGTAGCACGAGATGCAACAAATCTTATTCCAAATCCTGAAACAAGAGGAAAAGTTCAAGGATGGATGGACAATGTAGGAAGACAAGCAGGAAACTATTATAACAAAGCAAATGACTACTATAACCAAGCAGGACACTATATGGACCAAGGTGAAAGATTCTTTAACAGAGGATATAACCATGCACAACAATGGGTAAACAATAACCAACCTCAACCGCCTCAAACGTGGGGAATGTAAAATTTTTTACTGATATGAAATGAACAATACAGCATTGAGACAAATGGGTTCAAGATGGATTTGTCGACTTCCAGCAGTTACACCACGTGTTTGTCAAGTTCTTCCTATACCTCAGGAAGTTTTAGACCGACTTAAAAAACCTAAACAACCAGTTGAAAACAAACCAAACTAAAATTTTTTACGGACCTGAAAATGACCGAAGAAGTTGAAACGGTAGATTTGACACCACAAACAAAAAGTTCAGAACCATTGTCAAAACCTGTCAAAGAACTTACAGATGAAGAGAAAAATTCAATAATAGAAAGTGCCAGGTCTGGAAATACAAACCCTAACTACAAAGTCACTTTTCATAGAAATGGAACGGCTAGTATCTCAAAAAAGAAACAGACTCTCACAAATAAAATATTGAAGTCTGAAGGAGCTTTCGAGACAACAGATGGAAAAGTTTACTTCACTGACCAACAGTTCATTATAGAACATCTCATTGACTTAGAGTCGAAATATTCTAAACTTTACAACAAACACAAAAAGTTGAAAGGAAAACAAAAACAAATGGCATATGATATTTATGAAGATGTTGACGACACAACTGTTCCTGCAGGTGGGGTAAAGTCAGCGGAACCGAAAAGTGACGAAAAACCGATAGAAGAAGAAAAACCAAAAACTGAAGATAAACCAAAACCAAAGTTTAGTTTCCAAACTAAACCAAGTCAACCTTCATTAGCTGGTATGGGTTGGCGTCAAAGACTTATGGCAGCAGGCGGTTATGTAAAGTAAAGAAAAAAAATATTTTTTTATTTTTATAAAAATGCCCCCATATAGAATGGATAGAAAGTCTGCTAGAATAAAAGCAGAGTTACAAAGATATGGTTGGAGAGTTTCGAAGAATTTTAAATATAGGAAGGGAAGACCCATAAAAGTCTATGACAAATTGTCTGGTCTTCGCTACGAAATGGATTTGGAAACAGCACGTGCCAATTATCCAAACAGACTAGAGAGGTTAGAAGAAGAACGTCTTATGGACATGCCTTTCGATGTTAGTGAACCTCAAGTTGAAGGACACGACGGCTTTGCCAGATTCTACTGGAAACATGACGAACAATTGCATCCTTTGAGAAGGAAAAAAGGTAGTGCAGAGGATGGTCATGCTCCCATGGAAAGAACAAGATATGCATATGAAAAGTATCGTGAAGTTAGAAGTCAAATTACATCTGGTCGAACCTTTACAGTAAACTTTGACGAAGGAAAGAACAAAGAAGGCTTCATGGGAGTACTTGCTGCCATACAAGACGGAAATAAGAAAGGACACAATCTCAAATTGACCATAACAGATTTGGATGGTCACATTTACTATGCACATGGCAATGAACAAACAGCCGCAAAACTTCTTGACGCTTTCAAGACTACAAAGAGAGAACAAATGGTTGACTCCGACTCAGACATTTTGAATGCAATTGAAGGAATTGCAAGTGTCAAGTTCGAATGGTACCAACCTAACCCTCAAGCAGTCAGACAACATGCTGGATACTTCCCGTTCATAAATAAGTCTGACATTGACTTGACAAGGTATGGAATTTACAATTCAATTGAAACAATTGTCAACGAACCTTGCATTCTTACATGTCTCAGGAACTCTGGTCTTGTTACAGATGAGAAGATGAAGTATCTTGAGTCATGTGTGAAGACAAGGTACATGCTCAGAGGTCAATTGGCAAAAATTGCACCGTTGGCAAATGTCAATATCCGAGTCAACATACCTACAGCTAAAGGTTCTTCACATGACGACTATGTTGTTGAGTTCAATTTACCATGGTTGAAGATTGTAATTGTCCACAACCACTTCATGTTGAACGAAAGTCTTACAAACCCATTGTTCGGAAAAGGCAAGTGCAACATTGTCAGAGCTGTAAACATTCTTTTCGAGAAAGGTTTGTTGGAACCAATTCCAGATGACAAGCTGACAGAAACTTTTGTACCAAAAGACGAAACAAACTTTTCACTGTTAGCAAGACCAAAAGTTGTTCCAGACAAAGTTCTAGTACAAAAGAAGTACACAATTCCACAAGGAGTTGGATTGTTCGGATACCAACCTGAACCAGAAGAACTTCCAATGAGGTTGCAAGAACTTCAAGATGCTATAAATAAACTTCCATTGAGACATCCAATTGACGTCAAATTGTATTGGAGAGCATCTGAGTTAGGTCAGAAGGTTTTATATGAAACAGGTTGCTTCGACGATGTTTATGAGATAACAGGAGAAGTTTCTCAGAAGATAAGAGACTCACTTGAATTTCCACAAACTGGACCAATTGGTTGCGACAAGTTCGACTCAAACGAAAAGATATACTATGTCGACCTTAACGCTGCGTACATGAGGTTTGTCCAATATATTCCGACTGGAATTCCAAACGAAGATGGTGAGTTCCCGGGAAGGAACTATACAGTTGGAAAAGTCATACAACAACTGTATGATATTAGGAAAGCTTCAAACCCCAAACTTGCAATGACACTCAAATTGCTTATGAATTCGACATGGGGATATTCCATTAAAAAACCTCAAGAGATGAAGAGTAAACATTATGAGAAGGTCGACAACTTTGTTGAAAGGTTTTCTCCTTTTGTTTTGAAGTACGAATTCACTCAAGGTCAAAGTGGCTTAGTAACCACATTAAAACCTATTGTCGAACTTTGGTCTTACCCTCAGTTCGCAAAAGCAGTCCTTGACAACTACAACAAATTCTTCTCCGAAGTCAAATCCAAAGTGAAGGTTTACTATGAGAACATTGACGCACTCATGACGAACGAAGAAGGATACAACAAACTCATTGAAATGGGAATGGTCAGTGAGAAGATGGGCTGTTTTAAGCTAGATAAGGTATTTTCCGAAGTTCATGTAATATCGAAAAGGAAATATTGGGGCATACTTGAAGACGGCACAGAAATAAAACATTGCATGAAGTAAAAAATTATTTTAAAACAATATATTTTTACATATATTAAATGCTTCAGGTTGAAAAACAAAGAACAAAAGTAGCAGATACAAAACCGTTAGACTATATCTTTACAAATGCTGGTAGGAATCTTTCAGATGAAGAAATTTCATCCCGAGCATACAGGTTTGACTATCCAATTCGTTGGCTTCAAAGTCCTTCAGATGCAAAGGCAATAGGATTTAGAAGAGTTTTGTTTTCAAATAGAACTAACGCATTTATGTTCGCAGTATATTTTCATGGGCAGTATAAAGGTTCTGATGGTCTAATAGACAAATTTGACGAAATGAAAATCTTTACAGTTCGTTCAGACGAAAGTCTTGAGAAAACTCTAAATGACTTTCAAACTCAAATGAACAAATATTATTGGGAATTTCAAAAAAAATACGACTCTTTACTAAATGGAACATACTATCTGAAACTAGAATATGACAAGATGAACTCCACCGTTTCATTTCAAAAGATTGAAATTAACCCTCCAGGAGATACAGAGTTTTTATTTTGGGAAGTAGACAAACGTTCTTGGGCACAATTTCTTCGGTTACTAAACCAGAACGAACCATTACCACCAGATGGTCCATTTAAATTTATACTTCCACCAGCAGATTTGATGGTTTATAGAAACGTGTTTGACCC